AAGTTACAGCCCTCCAATATCATGATCACGATTTAATAACAAGGAGAGAACAATATCTAGAAATGTTCATAGAATATTAAATACTTTTTTAGGGTAAAAAAATCTGTACAACTTTGACCATTTTCTTGCTACAATTCCGCAGTGCAACAAAGATAGTTTGATTGGAAAAATTGATTGAGTGCCTTACGTTTTTTTTGTTTTTTTGTTTTTTTGTTTTTTTTTTTTTGTTTTTTTTGGTTAATTAATATTCTAGGTAAAAGTAATGCATTCAAAAAAATTTCCCTTCATCAGTTGTTTTTTCTATTTAGCTACAGTTTGTCTCCCTTTAAAACAAAAACCTTTAATTCTCACTCTCATTTTCAATCATACATTTATACAATAAAATTTTGCACCTAAACACAACTTTTTCGTAACTTTTAGCCATATATTCTCTAAAAAATCACTATTCAAACATCATTTTTCTCAATAATGGCCATTTAACAAGGACTTAATTGATAATTACATGTGGGAAAATAATTTTTTAAGTTTTTCACTATTTCAAATGTTAAAAATACAATATTATATTTTTCAATTAATTCTTACCAATCCAATCCAATCCAATATCTAAATCTATACGATTTTGTTGTAAATGAACGAAGTGGGTTGTGAAAAGAAAATAAGGATTCCTGTACATATATACCCATGATTCGAACCCAGAACTATTAGGGGGTTAGAAACTTTGGCTTTAGTTCAGCCAAAATAGACTTGAGCATCAGCATGTGAGAGGCCCTCTGTTTCAAAATCTTACTAATTATTAGAACTGAGGAGTTATATGAAAATCAACTATGAAAGCTGCATATAGCTAGAAATAAAATAGTACTGTCGATGACGCGAAGAAAAAGTCAAGCTGATATTTATCAGGTAGGTGAATGAACCTAATGCTGGTTTCACCAAAGGAAAAAACGAATTTCAAAACAAATTAGATTTAGAACATTAAAATTTGTGCTTTTCTCTGATCCAATTTATGTCCCCAAATTTCAGCTGCCTTGTGAATAAAAACTGTAAAAAATGAAATGGCAAAACAAATACCTAGATCATTAACCTCAATATCTACATCTCCGAGTATAGACCGTGCTTTAGATATTGAAGACTTCGTCACTGCAACAGATTTTCCGAGTCCAGTTCGAAACATGGGTGGACTCTCCGCATTTCCCTCCCCATTCTCCAGTAACTTTGAACAATCTATCAGAAAAATCAACTTACAGTCACTAGGAAAAGAAGCTTAAAACATATGCATAAATTGTAAATATAGAACTAGAGAGTGCCTTGAAGTAAGAGATCCGCCATGGAAGGGAGGCGATGTTCGATCGCAGGTTCTTGAGATACGGAATCTTCCGGTTCCTCTTTCTCGCGATATAGATCGGAGATATCCCACCGGAAAGTGTTTCCAGCATCGACAAATATCTGCCACGTCGACATACTCCGGGAGGTTTTACGTTATTGAGGCCCTGAGGGTTAAGTTTGAATAAAAATGAAAATTGATTGCTTCACTTTTTAGCTGAGAAAGCGGGAAATTATTTTAAAGTAAACTCTGCCGCGCTGAGCAAAATGTGGATGTGGGGTCCAATAAATTTGGGCTTTTCGGCCCAATGGACATTTTTTTCGTGGAAGTTTGATGAAAATAGCACTTTTTAAGCATTTGTTTGAACCCTGTTTTGTTGATATGCATTTCGTAATAGTAAATTTTTTAAAAATGTATGGTTAAAAGTATGAAAGATTTTTAATTTACGTACAAAATATTTTATTGTAATAATATGTAGTTGAAAATAAATTTTAAGATAATGAAGATCAGACAAGAGCTAAATATTTTTTACCAAAATCAGTTCATTTGAAACTTTATAAGCCCACAAAATAAACGATGATATATTCAAAATTTACAAGTGAATATAGTCTGCAAAATTTATTATTATGATAATCATACACAAGAACGTATTCAACGTCAATATGAAAGAAATCTAATATTTATGAACTCTCAATGGCTAAGAAAGTCAAATAGTTGTTGTCGTAGTAATTGGAACACATGTCCCGTGATAATACCATAGCATGCATAACAAGAAGAAATAGTATTTTAGCTATGATAATGTTATTCATAGTTAAAACAATTTTTTGTGCATTCTTTTTTCTTAAATTTTGTTTGTACTTCGTCACATTTTAGATGTAAACTTCAAGTATGGACTTCATTATCTACAATTTTTTTTCTTTTTTTATTCTTAAATTAAGTACATCGGTGACTCTAATTTGTAGCCGTTTCATTATGTACAAAATTATTTTCAATAACTTTTTCTTTTCGATTTCATTTCTTTCTCTCTCCATAATGATATAATTTAGGAAAAATTAAAAGAAACCATGTATTTCAAGTTTCCGCTTCATTAATCAGATATTATTTATTATTTTTTAAAAATCAGGTAGTAATTTACTTTTATTAGGTTTAAACATATTATAATATCAATAAAGTGATATTATCAAATAATATTAGTTTATCAATATAATTCATATTAATATTTTAGAATGTGAAGAGAGAAAACATATCTCCAATTGTCTCTCGCTGCGAGTCCAATAATAGTGCTCCCAGATTCGGTATATTATTGTTACAATCGTAATCAAGTCATATCTTCCCATAATCCTTGAAATCACGCATGAGATTTTTCTACTCACACATGCTGTGTTTTTGAAAGATCTATCACTACATTTCATCTAATTATTGATTTTTCAGCTTGAAAAATGAGTATTATGTGATCATCATTACTCGAGCTTGCTGCATCACCTCGGGCAAATAACAAGTCCAAATTCATTGTTATCTTGTCTTTGAAGTTGAAAGAAGCTTTGCAAGTGCAAATGAGAAGCACAAATTTGCCCCAAAACATTGAAAAAGAATCTCGAACGTGTGAAAATTGCAAGGTGGGTGTGTATATGAATTTTTTTTAACATACTTTGTGACTCGCGACAACTATAATTTTAGGGCTATTTCATTTTGGGGATTGGGGGGGGGGGGGGGGGGGGGTTGTTGAGATTAACATGTTAATGTGTGAATAGCTTATTAATTTAAAAATTGAAAATCAAGGTTTCATTAATTGCATGTTGCTATTAGTTTAGGGTATCAAATATAGTGTATGAGTATGTTGGGGCATGATGTAAATAGATTTTGAGACTTGATTTTGGTAACTTGTTACATTATTATGTTAAAATGTGATCTGATTTTGATATATTTTAACCAGATTATGTGTATAGGATTATTTAAAATCTATAAATTCTGACCTAGTTTCTTGTTGTGGTCTACTGTTAGTTTTTAAGAACTAATTTTTGTTAAATGTGTTTGGGTCTGAGCTTGATGAGGTTGGTATGTGGAGGATTGCATGCATTTGATTTCACATGAAATTTATCAACACTATGAGAAGATGTGCTTTTATTTGTTTGAAATTTCAGGTTTGGTTTTGTGACCACACATTTCAATCAAGATACATGCAAGTCGCGGTTACATGAAACTATAACTTTGCATGCCTAAATACAAGTGACTGCATAGTCCACAATTTATGATTTATTTTGTAGAGTATGTCAAAATCAACTAATTATAGGTCATGGTCAACCAATTATAGATTTCAATCACGTGTTTATATTTGTGATCAAGGTCATAATCACATATCTAACATCCGAATTTATGCAATTTAATCAAGGAACATTGTTGGTTTCCCCGCAAAAATTATCACAAGTTTCATTACAAATATGATCACAAACTTTGTTATGAAATTCAACGATGAGCAAACGATATTAACCGATACCTATATATCATATTACATGAATTGCGGTGAGATTATTGTTTAACGACAGTTGATATATTATATACTGATGTGGGGTCCAACAACCCAGCCCAATTGGGATTGCTGTTGAACCATAGTTGATAAATCGTGTCAACGAATATTGGTTGATATGTACACGTGGATGAATATTTTCACCTTGTTAATACTACAAATGGCAGTTTTTTATTATTGTTATTACATTTGAGGTTTTTTTAATTGGTGATTTTAATATGTGAGATTAGTGTACATGTATGGAATTATTCAGGCTTATATCAACAAAATTTAAGTTACTTTCTATATAGGGGAAATGTTGATAATGTATTTGTGATATCAGGTCGCGATTATAAAACAAGAGGTCACATTCAATGCATAATAGGTCATAGATAGTCAAGGTTAACCCAGTATGATCACAAACATTCACAGTTAACACATATCTGATCACACACTGTCACAATAACATAGACATGGTCATAGTTTGTAATAGTTAACATGGACCTCGTCACGAACAATTACTGTTAACACAAATCCAATCATAAACAGATACTGAAAACACATCTAATAGACCACATTCATGCAAATATTTTATGAAATACAAACTCCTATTAAAAATTTATAACATGCTCACAAAGAGATTCCTATAAACGAAATTATGAAATTCAAACCCTGTTAACATAGGTGTGATCACAAACAATCCAGCTAACAAAAACTTGGTTATAGACGGTCACATTTAAGATGCACTTGGTCACAAACGATTATAGTTAATATTCACGAAATAATTCTTTCGATTTAAAACTACCGCAAGTGTACGGATCGTGACAAGTAATAAAGTGGATTTTTAAAAGTCCGAATATTGTCCCCAAAGATTGAGTAGTTCAATTCTATATAATCTAGCCTTAACCGAATCTAATTGAGTGAAAATATGGTCCAAATGCAAAAACCACTAATTTCAATTAAAAACCCTAATTTCTCAATTAGAAACCCTAATCTCGAAATTTCTCTAATTAAACGACTCAAACACTCAAGTAAATGAAATTATGCAAATTCAAAAACTAATTTATGGAAATGAATCAAAATAAAGTCGCTAGGATCACGAATCCCCAATTGAAGCTATAAAAACCATAATTTCATAAAATCAATTACCCGATGGAAATTTGTCAATTCAATGTTCCTAAATCTATCCAACATACTCTCTCGATATATATTAGACCTATTCTTGCACACCACCAACCTATATCTCTATGGATGATGCAAATATACAAGAATACATGTGGTTTTGTGAACAATTAGAGAATTGCATAAAGTATATGGGTATATCTCTATCCCCTATCGGACCCTATGTTGATTTACACCTTATCGAACCTATTCCACTTCTCTCGAATGTAAGAAATAATTCATCAACACTCACACAATCATTGGCCACTAATTACGGAAGAAAATCAATGTATATAAACCAATCAAATTGTCCAAACGAGTCTTTATATTAAATTCATGAAATATGGAATTAAAATAACAAACAATGGTTCATCGATCACCTAGTGAATTGAAAACCTAGCCTAGAATATTCATAATTACAGAATAAAAAATGAAATTAATAAATTGAAAGAATAGCACCCGTATGAAAATTTCTTGAAATTTTGAATAAAGCCTTGAAAACCCGCTTGAATTCTTGTGGAATCGGCTTCAAGATCGTGTTTCTTGCCTCCAAAAGTTGTAATTTTCTTCTCCCTGGACGTTCTACCCTATTTTTGATGAATTTTGGCTTTTATATCATGTCCCCACAGAGCCCCGAAAGAGTTTCAATTAAAAACGTATGTTCAGAATTTTTTTGGTTTTTATAGCCATGTGACCGCATGGTTCGAGTGAAATGGCTCTATGACAGTTCTGTGCGGCCGCATGGTTGTAACTTTCAACATTACTGTTTTGGTCCCTAAACTTCGTTTTCTCTTTTCTTTCTTTCCTTTGTTCCATCATTAGATATTGACTCCTAATTGACGTTTGGGTCAATCAATTCCTTGATCACTTGCTCGGCTCATCTTTTGATTAATTGTAATTTAGTCCTTCATCTTTCACTTTTCTTCAATTCAGTCCAATATTACTTCTTTCTTCCTTCGATCGTCTTGTATCGTCCTCAATCTCATACTTGGCATATTTTCATTCTCGTTCTGCACTTTAGCTCAACTTTTCAATATTTGCACATTTGATCCCCGAACTATCACTTTGTTCCGTTTTGATCCTTTTTTGGCTCTTTTCTTCTGAATTCCATCTTTTCCATAGAAACACCTACATTGCATGAATTTAACGAGATTAAGTCACAATTCAACTACTTTTTTCATGTTTAAATCATGTTTGTGAGCTAAATAAGTGTGTAAAAACACACTTATCAAATCCCTCAAACTTAAACTATTGTTTGTCTTCAAACAATGTAGTGACTTAATGCTAAACAAACATGACTTAATAGCTTGTCGTGTCTCAGGATTGGAACTTAGTAATAATAATAGAAACAATATCAAAAGTGTGAGAATTGAATCAACCTTTACTCATCAAATGCAATACTCAACGTGTATGTGTGAACTCATGCCAACATATCAAGCTTATGATTAGTTTATTCCCAACCCATAGTGGTCAAATTTATCTTTACGTCACTCGAGAGATACACAACCCCCAAATGTATT